AGGAGACAACTAGAATTAATGAAACCAAAAAGACAGTATTTTTCATCATAAGGTTTACTTTTAATGTGCATGTGTATTCCTTTGAAAATATGAAAAAAAAATTGTTAAAAATGTCAAGTGTGGAGAAGAGAGCCTTAAATTCACAGTAAATGTTTGGGCTTCTGATTAGTCAGGAGTGAGGTGAGGGGAGATTAGTAGAGAGAGTGTGGCAACAGCAGGAGCAGACTAATCAGGAAAACTGCCAACCAGAGAAAGAATCAAATAGCCTGACTATGAAACAAACCAGCAAACGTTTTCTCGTGGATTCCTACTCAACGCCACCTGATAAGACAGGGTAGAGCTGCCCTATAGTGTTTCTTACACCGTAATCTTGATGGCACATCTTTCTCCCAAGGAGTGACAGTGGCTTCAAACCGCTGACTTTTTCTGTTAGTAGCGAAATAGTTAACAAAATATTCAGCAGAATTCAGCAAAGATAATGTTATTGATATTGATGCCATCCAATGAATCTGTAATAGAGACGGCTTGAAGGCAGAGAATGAGTCAGAGAAAGGATGGATGGATGGTGGATGGATGGATGGATAAAGACACTGTAGGAAGAGGGCATACTTGGGAGAGCAAACCCCTTCAGCTGGTTGCAAATGTTTTGGGTGTCCTGCATTCACAGAGGTTTTTCTCTTGTTCTTTCAGAAGAGGTATGTATCAATTCAGCACTAGGTTGCACCTTAAAAGGAGCCCCGGGGGATTAGTGGTTCCTAGTTGTGCTTCAATCCCCAAGGTCAGCAGTTCAAAGCCACCAGCTGCTCCGATGGAGAAAGGGCTTTCTGCTCCTATAAAGAGTTACAGTCGTAGAATCTCACAAGGGCAGGTCTACTCTTCCCTATAGGGTCAGTATGAGTTGGTATAAACTTGATGGCCATGAGTTTGCACCTAGAATGTAATTGTGTAGGTCAAAGAAGAAGTTCATGAAAAATTATAAGTTTGCATATTTATGTCATTTAGAAAAATTAGCTTTCCTAATTGTCGTATCCTACAAAACAAGTTCTCTCTCCTTTGCCTACCTCCCTTCCACTCCAGTTCCAAGCATACCTCTAATGTAAACTTGCTTAGCGTCCCCCCATCCGTGAAGGTAGAGACTATGCCTACTTTGTTCACTCTTTTATCTGCAGCACCTGGCACAGTGCCTGGAACATAAAATAAGATTAAAAAATGTCAGTTGACCAAATCATCTAGTGCCTGTGCATAGTTCCCAACAGTTTACGGAGTACTTTGTCTTCGTTATCTATTTGGATCCCGAACAGTGTGAAGATACTGAGTAAGTAGCCATGCCCTCTTTTTGAGGAAAGGGCCACTCTGAAAGATTACATACTAGGGGAAACCCCACAAAACCAGATGTGATGTGAGGGGCATAGTGCATTTGGAGTTTGTTCCACCAGGTCAGACTGTTAAAGCTTTCTATTTGAGGTTCTGAAAAGATTGTGTAACAACGTGAGACCAAAAAAGTTCTGATTGTGGCAGGGCGGGGGAGGGGGGGGACTGGTTTGGGCCCCATGACAATGCACCTGCTCATGCAGCCATCTCATTGCACCAGTTTTTGTCAAAAACCAGCATGCCTCTCTTGCCCCATGCACCTGACCTCACTCCAGGAGACTTCTTTTTGTTTCCACGAATGAAGAGGGACATGAATGGACAGTGATTTGACAACGTAGAAGAGGTGAAGGAAAAAACAAGGGAGATGCTTTCAGCCATCCAAACAGATGAGTTTGAAAAATGTTCCCAAGAATGGAATCGCAGATTTGGCAAATGTATTAAGCATCCTGGAGAGTACCTGGGGAGAAGGTAGGGAGCGGCAGTTACTAGCTGCACAGTTGCTCCCAAAGACAGACACTCAGTTTTCCCAGAAATGATGTTCACGTGATCAGAGGTTCTCAGAGATCTCTCTGACCTCAGCATGTTTCTTCAGACTGATGCCTGGGACCTGAACTCTACAGGCTTCTCTCCCCAACAGCGAGTGATAAGTGAATGTTGTTAAGGAGCCAAATAGATGTCCTATACATTCTGCCTTCACTCCTTGATTGATCGTTATGTCCAAAGTAATTCTTTCTAACGAGGGAATTGAAACAAACACATGAGGGCACCATTTGTGTGTGTGTGTGTGTGTGTGTGTGTGTGTACATAAACACGTACCTGTGTGTTTATAGATACTGGGTCCCAGAAAGCAGTAAGGGAAAAAATGGCCACCACCTCTTTTTCTGGTGTGCATTTTGGAAAGCAGCTTTCCGTGGGCCCATGTGTTCACGTGTTCTTTCAGTCCACAGACAGGTTAGAGAAGCCTTGGCAATTACTCATCGCTGAAGAATCTCACTGACTTCTTTGGGAAATCACTTGAAAAACCCGTGGACTGCGTACATGCTGTGCTGGGAGCCTTCAGCTCCCCTTTGCAGTCTATAATTTATGTTTTCCCAGCAGGAGTTAAATTTTCATGAATTTGCCTTTAAATTATGTATATTGAAGTGAAATGCGCTGATATAAATATAGATATGACTATAAAGCTTCTTTTTCCAAGAATTTGACCTTCGATAGACCTTTTTATTTTCCCAAGCACCCACCACAAACAAAGACGAGAGTGGTTCTGTACTGTAGCTTTATTGGCATATTGGATGCACATACCATAATAGTTCCTTTGTAGTAAGATATTACTCAAGTATCTTGGGCTGAAAAATAAGTGGACTTAGTGAGCCCCAGTGGTATAGAAGTTATGCATCGGGCTATGATGCACAAGTTGGCAGTCCAAAACCACCAGCTGCTTTCCAGGAGGAAGATGGGGCCTGCTACTCCCCTACAGTTGCAGTCTCAGAAACCCACAGGGGCAGCTCGGTCCTGTCCGATAGGGGCACTATTGACTTCACGTCAGGGAATTTAAAGAAATGAAATGCTTAGGGTTGGGTTTATTCAGGACATGTTATAAAGTTCTGTCAAGTCTGTTAATAAATGTCCAAAGGGCATGCCACTTTGCTGTAAGCCTCAACTCACAGGCTGACTCATAGTAACTCCAAAGGCCACTGGAGTGTGTTAATTAAACTCATGGATTATGATGTGTATAAATTGAAATCCGAACTTATCTGCTTAATAGTTTTGTGACCTTAGAAAATTTTACCTAACCCCTCTGAGCCTCACTTTCTTTATTCATAAAAGTTATTCAATGACCTTAGAGAGATGATATATGTATAGTGCTTATCACTGTATTTAACATATGCTACGATTAATGGAAAGCAGGTACTCTTATTATTACTGCAAACTCAAACTCTCCTATTGGCATAGGGAAGACTCATTTATGGCATACATAACCTCTTATTGAAGTAATGAACTTAATGTATTCATTTATTTGCAATTTTTTATTATAATCCTCAGTCTAGCCAAAGGTACACTAAAATGATCACATAGATTAGCTGATGAGAGCATAGATTGCATAATAAAACTTGATAGTGGGGCAAATTGGCAAAACATACCAATATTCATAAAAGATGCTCTTCAGGCCGTAATGCCCTTTCTATGAATCTTGACAGGACAGGTTCAGAGATTCAGACCAAGATTGGCACCACTAGCACTGGGCTGGGGATGATGGGAAAGTGCTCGCAGTTACTTTTGTTTGAAAAAAAAAGATATAAAAGTATGTGAAATGGTCACTTTTTTTTTACACTGAGAAATGGATTTCCCTCTGTGCTTTCTCTCTCCTTCCCCAGAAATTAGAGGAGAAAGTACTTTCGAACAATCGCCAGTGTTTATCTCTGGCGGTTTCCCCAGATGTTATGAAATAGACAAGCTGCCTGGCGTAGGGCACGGGAGAAGCAGCGGAGGAGAGACTGTGTGCTCAGCTATCTGTTGTTTCTCAGCCGTGACTCGGTGGGACAAGCTTTGAACCACTGAAATCTGCTTCTAAACTGAAACAATATGTTGGTTTGGGCCAGGAGGTGGCTAAAAACTCCTTTATATTGTGTGTGACGCAGGAGGAATTACTGCATAGATTCTGCAGGTATCTTGGTTTTTACCATAGCAGACAACCAGAGCTCAGAGTGTTGCTAGTTCATATGAAGGATAGAGAGCCCTGGTGGCACAATGGTTAAACATCAGCTGCTGACCGAAAGGTTGGCAGTTCTAGTCCGCCAGCCTTTCTGCTGTGTACAGATTACAGTTTTGGAAACCCAAAGAGGCAGTTCTCACTGTCTCCTAGGGTCACTCTGCGCCACAAACAACAAGATGTTGATGGTGCGGAGGAGAGAAGGCTCACAAAAACAAACGCAAAGCCAAGTTTAATTAGAATTGCAAAGCTTGGTGTTAAGCAGTGAGCATGAATATTTAAATTTTATTTTTCAAAAATAGTTGAGCTGGTCAGAGACTGATGTGCATTTCTGATGTAACAATGCGTACTTTGTGGTTGTAGAAAAATATGTAAGAATATTTGGTGATCAACAAAAAGAATATTTGGTAATTTTTGACAACTTCTTGTTTAAAGTAATTTTGGGGGGGGCGTTTTAAAACCTTTATTAGATAATCGGCCACTAGTTTTCATCCACATTGACTGTAGGTTTTTGAGAGTGGTGACAGGCATGGAGGTAACCAATGTGTAGAGCTTGTTTGGGGAATCTTCATTCCCCATTGCGTTTCCTGGACAACCGTACACGGAGATGGTCTGGGACATTCCGGATTCCTTCGGCCGCGACAGCTTTGCTGAGCCTTGTGTGGATCCGTCCATCTGGTGTCCCCACCTCCTTCATGGCAAACTTCCAAATCTCCTGGAGTGCCTGAGGGGCAAGCTTCTTGAAGCCCACGCCATGATGCACCTGTGAATGTTGATGGTGTACTCTGGTCACGAGCTCGTTGATTGCCGAACGCCCTTCTTCTTCTCACCACCCTTCTTTGCGGGAGCCATAGTGCCGGGACTCTAAAGTAATTTTAAAATCCCCCAAATCATAAATTTTGTCATTTTTTTTCCTAATTAGGATCCAGTTTATGGAAGAGGAAAACTTGGAGAAATCCAGGGACTTATACTGGGAATGCTGGAAACCTTTAACTATGAACAAGTAAGTTGCTTGCTATTGCTAAGCCTTTCCAAAGGTAGAAAAAAGAACTATTTTTTTCTCTGAAGCTAACTTTTTTTTCATAGTTTCTTTTTGGGGTTTTTTTTTTACAGTTTTATTGGCACGTAATCCACATGACATACAATACAATCCTTCAATCATATCAAGAATTGTACAATCATTTTTAGAACATTTCTCTCCCCCCCTATGATTAAATAGCTTTTAAAATGGGTTGTGTAATCACATTCAGTTCTAGTGCCCCTTCCCCCTCCCTGAAGCTACCTTTTGATACTAAAGATCACATGATAGAATTTTGGGAAGGCCAATGACTTCTTCATTACAAATACCCTTTTTTCAGCAAGATGAATGACTATATATGTGGACCTCACCAGATGGCATACACAGGAATCAAATTGACTACATCAGTGGGACGAGACAGTGGACAAGCTCCATATCATTAAGGCCATCAATTGTTCATATAAAAGTTCATATTGAAGCTGAAGAAAATTAAAACAAGTACATGGGAGCCAAAATATTACTTCCCATCAGAATTGAGACCATCTCAAGAACACATTTGTCTCACTGAACACTAATGACAAATGCCGTCACCTGCCATCCGTATTTAACCAGTCTGACACCCACTGTTTCTCCCATGGCACTCTACTTCCATGGCTGGGTTCAATAATTCATTGCAATGCCACACAGAACTCATGACAGTCTTGATGGGGTTTGTTAGCAAAGCAGGTGAGAAATGCTCAGGATATAGTTGTTCAGTCAGGAGTGTGTCTTCTCTGCTGGGCCTGCAGGCAGGCTTCTCCCTGGCCCTCAATCTCTTGGCTTCACCTCTGCCCTGCTCATTCAATGTTACAGAGTTCTTTTAGGACTGCCAGTAAGTGCCCAAAGGGCATGCCACTCCTTCATAGGCCTCAGCCTGAAGTCACTCAGCTCCAGTGCCATGGGTCAGCTAACCCAGCTGCCCCACTTAAGTGCCCAGAGGCACCCCACTCCACAAGCCAGCCTCCTGCTCAAAAGCCCCCAGCCTTACTTGCTCTGTGGGCTGGGAAGCCCACCACTGTCTCATGCTCTGCCTCCAGGTCACGCTGCTGTTCCTCTGGTTTCCCTGTTTCCTTCATCAAGGAGGTTCCGTGTGTAGGGATCTCAGTGATAGGGCACGCTCTACTCCCAGCTCTTCTGTCCTACTGATCGTGAGATCCCCTCCCTCCTCGTGCTTCTGAGATGCCAGCAGGGTGGCAGTCACAGGGAACCCTGTTAACAATCACTCACAGCTGAGTCCCATCATCCAATCAGTATCTTCCCCACCTTCTTACTCAGAGCTATCAGAAAAGTGAAGGTCAGTCGATAGGAGTCTCACAAAGGTGATAGTTGGAAGAGCCTTATTGAATAATTCAGTGCATTAAATAATAATCACATTGCAGTGCACCTGACCCAGGCCATTGTATTTTCATTCACCATATAAATAAATATACATATATATGTATGTATTAATATTTTTTCAGAATAAATGCATTCTTTTTATTCCATCTTTTGTTTAGATTAATGGAAATGAGATTTCTTTAATTAATTTTTAAAATCACTTTATTAGGGGCTCATACAACTCTTATCACAATCTGTACATACATCAATTGTGTAAAGCACTTTTGTACATTCATTGCCCTCATCATTCTCAAAACACTTGCTCTCCACCTAAGCCCCTGGCATCAGCTCATCATTTTTTACCCTCCCTCCCTGCTCCTCCCTCCCTCACAAACCCTTGATACTTTATAAATTATTATTTTGTCATATCTTTCCCTGTCCGACGTCTCCCCCCAACCCACTTTTCTGTTGTCCGTCTCCCAGGGAGGAGGTTATATGTAGATCCCTGTAATCGGTTCCCCCCTTTCCAACTCACCCTCCCAGTATTGCCACTAACACCATTGGTCCTGAAGGGATCATCCGCCCTGGATTCCCTGTGTTTCCAGTTCC